ATCTTACTCTTAGATGTGGTGTTTAAAGAAATAGAGGGAGGATTCAATATTTCTGATGAATGCTGTAAACATGCTCTCGTTTTCTTTTATTTTGGTTATGTGGGACGAAAATCCAAACCTCACAATCCTTTTGATATCTGAAAAATAGATAAAGAATAATTATCAAAAGAAAGAAAAGGGTATCTAGTGGACCTTGTGAAGAGGAAAGCAAAGTTATCTTGTATGCACGTATTTCTTCTTTAATAGATACCTTTTCGATTTACTCATGTAGTTTACTTTTCAGGTCTGCTTACATATGTTTACTGTAGATTTCCTGAATCAAGTGGCAAATGGCCTTGAGAAAGACAGCATGTGAGCACTGCCTTCCTTTGTATTTGTTCTGTTTGGTTGCCTAAAAAATTGTAAAGTAATGACTATTTGTTGGAATCAATCACATACCAATAGTAGAAGCATAAAGGCCGTAAATCGGTGGGAATGGCCACAGAATAAGGCTATTACTTTGACACCTATAGATACTAATCCTTCATGTCAGCAACCCGAATATGCTCTAAATGTGCTCTTCATAATTTGACTATTTCTCTAACTATACTGCAACCTCCTCCTTCATTTGGACTCTGGGGAGTGGCTATGTTCTGCAAACAAAGGTGGAGTTGACTATTATTGTTGGAATACGAGTCTAAAAAAAGCTTTTACAATATGATTGCAGTTATCATCTTGCGGAGAAGAAAATCCCCTCAATTCATGGTCAAACAGTGGGATACAAACTGGAACAATTCATATTTGATGCTTTTCCTTATACACCTTCAACAACACTATTTGAGGTAATTGTCATTCACTTGTCACAATACTTCCAAGTCTCCAATAGCAGCTAAATGCATATCTGTCTAATACCGGGGTTTGAAATGTTTTGTCTATATAGGTTGTTCGTGAAGAAGAATTTGCTCCAGTTAAAAATTCCAACGGGTCAAACTTTGACACTCCTGATAGTGCTAAATTGCTTGTTCTTCGTCTCCACACCCGTTGGGTGGTTGCAGCTGGAGGTTTCTTGACACATTCTGTGCCCTTATATGCCACAGGTAATTTGATGTTTGGGAAAGAAATATTTTGTGAAGTTCATAATGCATGGTGCGAAGGAATGTTTAAAGGTTAATTACCATGAGGCCAGTGATGCTAAATAGTGAAAGCCAACTCTTTTAACTTTGCAAGAACACTAGGTATCATTTGGTACGATGGATAGGGAAATTTAATATCCATAGAGAACTCTGCATTACTTATATACAAAAAAAATCAATCTTACGAATATAATCTCTGCTTAACTAATCATGTAGTGTTTGGTTTGTGATATTAAACTCAAAAACTTCTGATAATTTAACACCAGAACCCAAATATCGCATAACTAATACTGGTATAACCTATGTATTATTTTGTACCAGATAGAATACGAAATAAGAATATGTGTACTAGCAATACATGGATAACAGTATTTAAAACACACACACCCTTTAAACTAAGTAATTCCTACATAACAATCCATGGAAAATTATTCATCGTATTACAATCCATGCATAACTATTCACTGCATACAAGTTCTTACATTATGATTTTAACTTAGCTAGACAACAAAACCAACTCGTTTGTGACTGAGGTGTAGTTGTTGTTGTAGACTGGAAACCTAACAAATCCGCAGTGTAACAGAAGTAAGTGTTTCATAGTCTTCTCAAAGTTTGCGCGTTTAATTTTTCAGGTGTGGAAGTTTCACCTCTTTGTTCATATGCTGGTGAAAACCTGGAATCTATTTGCCGTGGAAGAACATTCCATGCACCATGTGAAATCTCATTTTAGTTTGGATTTGATTTCATTAAGTAAAGTCCTGAAATTTTTTTCTCCATTTTATACAGTCCCTTTGATCTGTTTCACTTTTTTCTTTGTAGTAATTTTTTATTTTTTTCATTTTCACGAGGGTTGTCTTTTCATACTCTGCTGTAGACAATAGAGTAAGCGAGAATACTTTGTTTTGTACTACTAAATGAGTTGTATTTTATAATAAAATGATGCAAATGTAATGATTTCAGTATGTATAATTTTCATTTTATGTATAACTCCTGAGTTAAGCTAAACACCTAATTGCAACTGTCATACCCAACTACAAACAGTTACATGATTTAGTATACTAATGCACACCTAGTCAACTCAAAATATATAATCTAGAACAGAGTAATTAATTGATAGGACGGAAATCTTAGTAGTTTAGTTGGTTGCCTAGCTAGCTAAGCTTTCACCTTGTTGGTAACCAAACAGTACTATTAACATTGATCCAACAATTTCTTTTGAATTTCATAACTAGTTGAGCTTATTTCACCTCTAATATAGAATAGTTGAAATATGTTGCATGGTACCTTAGACAATTTCTTTTTGTCTTGTTAGGATCTCAGAAAAAAAGAAAACCGAAAGATAAGAGAATTCCGCCTTTATTTTAACTATCTTAAGTTAGAAGACTTGTACGTATATTCCTTTCGATTAGAGTTGTTGTAATCTTCTAGAATCTTCTTCCGATCTTTGAGGTACAACAACCTGTGTAACTATGAATTAGGAGTTGAACTAACCAAAAAGTAATTCAGTTATAAAAAGAACAACTGATTTCAAAGAGTACTTTAGTAGCAGAATATTTTTTTAATATTGGTGTTAGTATGGATGACTCAAAGGGTAAGAATAGTAAAACATTTGTTTTAGGTACCCAAAACTTTGAGGTCCCAATAATTTTTAATAGTAAATTTTAACTTTCACTTGAAATAATATTAAATATTATATAAAAAATAAATTAAGAAAAAGAAAGAAACAAGAGTTGTCTATTTTTTATCAGAAATATTTTAAAATTTTGAATTAAACAACTCAAATCTTTATATTAATAAAGGGCAAAGGGTCAAAAATACCCCTCAACTTTGGTTTATTGTTTGACTTTACGCTCGCCGTTAAAATGAAGTTAATTTTACCCTTTCCGTTACTAATTTCGCCAAATTTATCCCCCATTAGATGGAATCCCCAAAATTGACCCGAATTAAAAAAAAAAACCCTATTCCCTATTTTAACTCAATGACCCGACCCCATTTAGAATAATCCGGTTGGTTAACCCTATTTTACCCATTCTCTCTTTTTTTCTCCATCAGAAGCCAAGTCGAAGAACAGATTGATGAGTTGAAGAAAAGACAACCTAGTTTCTCCATCAAAATTTGTACTAATCGTTGTTAAGGTATTGAATTGAACAAATCTTCTTTGATTATTGTCTTTCTATAACATTTAGTTGTTGATTACGAGTTAGGGTTTGTCTCCAAATTTCTGGCTCGTTTGTTTGCCTTTTTACCGATATGTGTTACAATCTGTTAGTTATGGTTAGTGGGTATCAGTGTTTCTGACTCTTTTGTTTGCCTTTTTTATCGATGTATAATACGATCTGTTAGTTAGGGTTTGTGGGTATCTGTCTTTGGATTTTTTGTTTCACTTTTTATATCTAAAATTTAACGATTTGTTACTTTAGTTGTTGATTTACGAGTGTTGATGTTGTGGGTTAAGGTTTTTGAGTTATAGATTTACCTTTTTACATCTAAAACTTCACGATTTGTTAGTTGTTTATTGTTTTTTTGCGATTTAGGGTTTGTGGGTAGGTTTTAGGGTATTGTATGAATTTGGACGAGGTGATTTAGGTTTTGAAGATGTTATTGAATATGGGCTGATTTCTGGTCCCAATATTTAATTAGGAAATTCTTGATTGAATATGGTCCCTGTTTGATGTGGGGCCAATATTTTATTCATTCTTATTGAATGTGGTCCCTTTTGTCTAAATTTCTTAGTTATTTGTTTGCTTTTTTTACGGTTTGTTAATGTTTATTCTTATTGAATGTGGTCCCTATTGTTGTCTTTGTGTGCCTTGATTGTGTGCATTTTTATGTGTTATGTTTTTCCCTTCTTAGTTATTTTGTCTCATTCATGCTTTTGGTAGTTGTTAATGTTGTCTTTGTGTGCCTTGATTGTGTGCATTTTTATGTGTTATGTTTTTCCCTTCTTAGTTATTTTGTCTCATTCATGCTTTTGGTAGTTGTTAATGTTGTTTCTTGTGTGCCTTAGGTTGCCTAAAATGGTTTTGGTTGATCTAGTATTTCACTATGGTGGGAAATGGATAAGAGAGCCTAAATTGCTCTATGAGAGGAAACTTGTTCACAAAGGGAAGGTTATGATTATGATCTCTTATCTTGTATAGATATTACTAATGACTACATTAATTTATTAGGCTATGTGGGTGTGCAACAATTAATAGTATATGTCCCTTCTGAAAAATACTATGGCCTTCTGGAAAGTACTATGAAATAGAAGGTGATGAGGGGATTAGGACATTATTGTCCTTTGTTAATGATAAATTTGATGTAATTAATTTATTTGTTGTTGATGATTGTGAGTTAGATGTTGATGTTGAGAATATAATCAAAATGTTAGAGACTGAGGTAGTTATTGATGATGTATCTACTGATTGTACTTCTAATAGTACTGAAAATGATAGTGATACTTCCAATGACAACTCTGATTATAATTCTGAAGAATTAGAGGTTCTTGCACTAGAAAGGAGGAGGGTAATTGATGGTACCTTGTGTGATTACAAGGATTTACACAAGTCAATGACATTTAAGGATATAGCTGAAGCTAGAAGATACATTAGTTTGCATTCATTGGCAAATGGCTATAACTTAACTACTAAAAAAAGTGACAGAAAAAGACTTAGGGTTGTTTGCAAAGAAAAATGCAACTTTGTATGTCTAATTTCTGGTGAAAAGTATGCTGCCGTGTTAGAGTGAAAACATTGAAAGGAGATCATAATAAAGCATGCAAGGATCCATGTGGTAACTATAAGGTCAGTGCAACTACAATGGCCTTTTACTTTAAGGAGAAGTTGCAGGCTAATCCCAAATACAAGATAAAGGAAATGAGAGTTGATATGAAAATTGCTTTCAACATTAAGGCTCATTTTGAAAAGGGTAAGAGATTATTTTAGCTCTCTTACACTTTTCAAAATGAGCATTAATGTTGAAAGCAGTTTTCATATCAACTCTCATTTCCTTTATCTTGTATTTGGGATTAGCTTGCAACTTCTTCTTAAAGTAAAAGGCCATTGTAGTTGCACTGACCTTATAGTTACCACATGGATCCTTGCATTTATTATGCTCTCCTTTCAATGTTTTCACTCTAACACCGGCAGCATGAATGCCTTGGTTTGCTGGATATACCACTGGTACGAAAGGAGCTGTCTCATTCGATGCTCGTGGTGAAGACCAAGAAGACACTGGTGAATAGGAGGCACTTTGTACTGGAGCAGATCCACCATTGTTGTATCCAAGGGAAGGATTGTTTCCAGTCATTGTAGTAGGATCAGGATGATGAAACCTGCAATTGGATCCATACTTGCAGGACCCAGTGCGCATGTAGAAGGGGCAATCCTTCTCTCCCTGAAATGAAGATAAATCCCTTAAGGACATAATTCTCAAATTCAAAAAGGTTCTGAATGACAGCAAGGAGCATTACCTGTCGAATTGGCAGGCCAAGAAAGTTAAAATCCAGAACAGGTGAGATTGCACCATTTCTCTTACTATGACTATATTTACAGGCATTTCCATACTTGCACCCTCCTCCTGTTAGGTAATACTGCAAGATTAACGAAAAAGAAAAAAATTTAGCCAAAAAGGAAATATGCCACCTTCAATACAGTATAGAAGCTTTAAGAACTTATAAGTTATAACAGAGCCAAGAAGGAAAATATGTGAAAGGCATAAAAACTATTTTTTCCCACACATCCATAGTAGAGACACGCGTGGAAACAACTTAACAACTACTCTCACAATTGTGTCAGCAACTTAAGAGGACTCAATTGTATAAGTCAGAATCTTAGCATTGACAATTAAGAGGCAAATTCCAGTTACAGCACAACGCAAACGAGAGAAGCATCTTGATGCATACATATAGGCAAGGTCATCACATAGAGGTCCTAAATATCACCATAGAGAGAATTAACAACACTAAATGAAATAACATGTAAAAACTGTAGTAATCAGTCGATGTCTGATCAGTTTAGTTCTACAAATCTATCCACGAAAACACAGGACAAAGAAAGATGGATTGCTTACTGATAAAAAAGAAAAAAGATGTATCATTGAGCAGTGTCAGTTCAACTTTATGCATGAACTCATTCCACAACTAAAATACTAAATTATGCATGTTGCACTTAAAATAGCTCCTCGAATACAACTTTTTTCTCCTTCACCTAGAAATCTATGACTATTTTATTTTTGAAAACCATGGTGTCCGGGTCATCTTGCACGTACTTCGACTAATTCCACGGAATAGTTGCTGCCTCCTACAAGGATAGGTACCTCATGATTCTATCCACTAAGGCTCGAAAAGATGGGAAGAACTCAGCTAGTGTTTTTTGTTTCCACTGGGACTTAAACCTAAGACCTTGTGGTTCTCTTGACCAATAGGCCACACCCTTGGGTGCAAACCTATGGCCTTCTTATCAGTCCATTACATTCTACCATTATGCAACTGAAAGTCACTATTCTAACAAATGTATATGAGAAAAGCAGTCAAAATTAAAGGAAATTCCATGATCCCTTCTGCTATAGATTCAGTAAGTGAAGGAAATGACTAGAACTACCTACTTAAAAAAAGGAAGAGCTTACATGCACCACGGGTGGGTTCTCCCTCAGAAATTACCAGTACTTCATTATAAAACACTATGGTCAAAAGTAAAACTTTTAGTTTCTCAAACTAGATTAATTATGACAATTTGCTATTTTCTCCTCATCATCTTCTGAGGAGCAGGGGATAAGAAACAAGTTTTGAAATACATGAGTTTTGTTCTAATCTAGTAAAAAGGTAATTTCATTGAAATGAAGGGAAGAAAAAATCCCGTATGCAAGTAGTATACCAAAAAGTAGAGAAACCTACAAAGATTTTAAACCATGCTTATTGGTAATGCAACCTTACTGTATTAAGCCAAACTAGTTCAGTAACCCAATAATGTCAGATTGCAATGGTCATGCAGCCAAATCACAAGATAACAGCTTGATCAATTTGACTATCCATATAAACCAGAAATGTAGAACAGATTTTTACCATAAATTGTCTCTCATGTGTTTCTGGCATAAATTAAATGGTAGATATTAGGTGCATGTTAATAAACAAGTTTATCAGTTGATATCAAAGAGGCTGTATTTCATAAAGCACTAACATTTGTTTTTTACATTATGATACTCGATATTCAACATCAAACCAAATTAGTCAAAAGATGAAGCATAGAAGAAACAAAGATTTTCCTCGTCTCATGCTTTTAACTATGATAAATTTCATAACCTTGCATTCAATCAGCCCTGCTCTTTCCTCACTTTCATCCCTTTGCTTGCCCTTCTCCATTGCCCACTGTTGAAGAGGTCACAAACGAACTCAATATAGTAAGCATCACAAAAGTATTTAGGATCTAAGTTCTAACCTAAGCATATGAACAGTAGTAATGGAAAAAAGACCACCACAAAGATCAACATAACCTCCAGATAGTCATCCTATTAATCCACCTCACATATAGATGTCAAGTAAAACTCACTACTTTACAGAGAACAATAATGCCAATGATAGATGATATTATGGATTCTTTAACAACACATATCAATGCATGATTTATCATGCCCCTTAAGTGCCAACAACTAACTATGAAGCAGCCCTCAGTTAGCTTGCACCTCAAGCCCATCATTACTTCAGAAGTGTAGCAACAACTACTACACTCAATCTCAAACTAGTCATGTGAATCCTTTAACACCATTTGGGCCCATTTCATCCCTATTACTTTAAAAGTCCACTATGCACAAGAAAAAAACTTAATAATCCCGTAATTAAACAAACAAAACAGTAGAACATCACAATCCTCTACTATTAATAAGATTCATCCACAACATTTCTTTTATTTAACAACACCATTCATTCAATCCACAAAACATAGAATAAGTACAGCTAAAGCCACTTCAAACCCATGACATTATACCTGGTTTTGTCTTCGGGAAGGGTGATTAAACTTGCAATTCAATCCATATTGACATGTCCCTGTTTTCATATAATAAGCACAATCCACAGCATCAGGCCTTAACGGGTAATTCAACCTCCTCCCATTCGCATTAAATCCCCATTCTTTTGAACCCGCCTTACTACCGTTCTCATTTGTCACATCAATTCCATTTCCGCTCCAACTAAGGTCACCATCTTCATAGTGATCAAATCCCCATTCCCTTGAAACCACTTCACCACCTTTCTCATTTTTCACATCAATCACATTTTCATTTTCGCTCCAACCAGCACCATCTTCATAATGATTACCACCGTACTCATTTCCCACTTCGTCTCTTCCATTTCCTTCATGAATATCTCCTTTAGCTCTCTCTTCACTGAATGCCTGATTTACCACCAGATTCTTAAGCTCTTCAACTATCATTTGCACATCTTTTTCATCTTCACTCTCAGATTTTGCCTTAATAGATTCATAAACACCTCCTTTTGTTCTCTCTTCACTGAACGCCTGGTTCAACACCAGATTCTGAAGTTCCTCAAAAATGATTCGCAGCAACATCTCATCATCATCATCAACGTCGTTTTCCTCAGCTTTTGGGAGATCCCGACTAGGGTTTTGAAGATTGGGTTCCGATGAAAATGACGCCGCTTCGGGAGGTTGAGGATCAAACCCTAAATACTGTTTATCAAGTGTAGGTTGGTTTAGGTTATGCATGTATAGTGATTGAATGGCTTCCATTGCTTTGTTTTGCCTCCGAATTTCAAAATGTAAAACCCTGATTCTCCATTTTCAGTCGAGGGAAGCAGTGTGGGCGAAATGAACAATGGCCAAAACAAGTCCAAATCAACGACGATTGTGAGTTTGTGACCCCAGTACTTTTTTTATATCGCCTTTTTTCCCCTTTTCATTTTCTTAAAGACAAATGTCTCTATTTTAGAGTTGTGTATTTAATTTTTGACCTTTAAATCAGTGTTTTTTTTATTTAAAAAAATGGCCCTTTTAAAACACTTTTAAGTACTAATAAAATATTGGTGAAAATATCATTCACAAGGCAAAAGTTAATCACAAAGCAAAAAATATATATTTTCGTATGACAATATAGCACAAGTTATAATTTACAAGGTAAAATAAATTATGCCGTTTAATTTCTATATAATTTATGGAATTAGAGGTAAAAATTTAGTTTCAAAATTCATAAAGTTATATAAGGCAAGACAAATATTTAAAACTTTTTAGGCTACAACTAATTTTTTTTTTGACCCACCCCGAAATAGGGGAAATCCATGCGAGAACTAATAATGTAACGCATGATGGGTTTTCTTGAGTTGGATTGGGTCATAATTTATTATAAGCTTGAAAATAATGTTAGGAGCAAATCTGGTTCAGTAAGAGTAAGAACATTTTTTTGAACCATTTTTAATATAATTAGAGCATTTTTATTTGGTATGTTAAAGGAAAAATATATTGAATCATTTCTAATAGGTAAGATTTTTTTTTTAATGTATATAAATTGCTAGGTATGTGGAATATAATCATCAAAGATGATGGAGTTAGTGAAATTTTGAATTAGTATTAATTTACAGTAGCGAATATCGAAAACCAAATGAGATTTGGGAGTTAGTGAAATTTTTCAATACAAATTAGTATTATTGAATACCAAATGAAAAGCCAAAAAATAAAGTGCAAGCAATAAGTTGGTTGATGGTACACTTCACGCAAAGTCTCTTTATTTCACGCGGTTGAACTTTCCCACGTACATTCCCCACTATTTCCCTATTTTTCCGTCTCCTTTTTGTTTTACTAGTTTTTCGGCATCAAATTATGAAGTACACGTTTCAATAAAATAATATGTAAGATAAAGAATAGGGAAAGGGGTCAAAAATACCCCCCAACTTTGGTTTATTGTTTGACTTTACCCTCGCCGTTAAAATGAAGTTAATCGTACCCCTCCCGTTACTAATTTCACCAAAATTACCCCTCATTTAGACGGAATCCCCAAAATTGATCCAAATTGACCCAATTACCCGGATTTTTAAAAAAAACACCCTATTCCCTATTTTTAACCCAATGACCCGACCCCCTCTAGGATAACCCGGTACCAATTAGATAATCTCACCCATTTCCATTTACCCATGCTCTCTCTTTAGAGATTTTCATTTACCCATTAACTTCTCCTCTGATTTTCTACAGCGATCTTGCTCAACAAATCGATTTTTCGCCAACGAAAGGTAAGATTTTTGGATTTTAAGTTGTTTTGCCTACGACATCTCTCTTTCGTTCTTCCTGCATCTCTCTTTCATTCTACCCATTGTTCTTCCAACATCTCTTTTTCGTTCACCTCTGATTTTTCTTCTCAGAAAATGTCACAAAATAGTTATTCGTCCCAAAGAAAATGTTCTTGTGGTTTGGTGGTCAAAACACTGATTTCGAGTACTACATCTAATCCGGGAAGATTTTTCCGATGTCCTCATCCAGATGTAAGTATATGAATTGATTTATTCTTATTATTGAACTAATTTCGTATTTCTTTGTATGAACTGATTTCGAGTATTCTTATGGCAGTTTTCTTCATGTGGATATTGGGAATGGGAAGACCAAGTTTTTCCTGAAGTAGCTTACCTACGTAATTTAGAGTCGTCGTTGAAAGATGTCAAGATGGAAATGGATAATTCGAAGATTGAAGTGGAGAATTTGAAGATTGAAATGGAGAACTTGAAGATTGTTGTGGAAAATTTGAAGATAAAAGTAGGTCATTTGTCGAAAACAATTGCTACATTGGAGGCATCGAATGATTTGGTAGTGGAAAAAGTTAGGATATTTCAAGACAAATATCACAAGATAAAGTACAAAGTTATGATTTCATGTTTTCTTTTTGTTGGATTTCTAGTTGCATTAACGACTAAGTGACTTCCTTTGTTAGTGTTTACTTTCAGCATTAGTTGTTAGTGTTTAGTGAATTCAGTTGTTAGTGTCTTTTGTGATGTTGGTTCCCTTTTTGTTCTTCATTTTGGTGTTGTAATGGAAGGACCTTTTTATTCTTCATTTTGATGTTGTAATGGAAGGACATATGCACTGATATAATATGAAGTAATGTTTAGTAGTTGAAGTAATACACACTAAAAAGTAATGTTCAAACTTGGCACCATTCTGGGAATGTATTTGCTTAATATAACAAATGTTTTTGCTTCCTACTTAAACTGCACACATACCAAATTACATGCAATGTATCTATAGCAACAAAGACTACTGGTCTCGTCATTATTGTCATACAACAACACAACTGAACAAAATTGCACATTTACAGAAATGACCATTTATGATCTCTCCCTTACACATTTACAGAACACGATGAACACTTCATATATAATGACAAAAAACTGATTTGAATATAGAGAAGTTAGTTTAGTACATACCCCAAAAGAAGTTAGTGCAAATACAAAAAGCTTTTAAACACATAAACATGTTTTTGTATGCCATTAGTATCTCAATAACATGAAACAAAATAACAAAATATTGTCTTCATTACTGAACTTGTCATTGTTGTGCCTTGCCATTATCCTTTTTTGTCTTAAGTTTTTCCACTTTTGATTGCTCCAACATTCTTCCAGTAATAGATGCATTGCCCTTCCACGTAAGTCCCTTTGGTGCATACAAATCACTTGGTACACTCGGACCATCTCCAAGGAAGTTGATTCTTCTTGATCCTGTAGGTCGTGCCTGATTCTGTCTTTGTTGGATTCTAGAATTCAACTCTGAAAAATCTCTTGGCTTCCATGGCATGTCATCCTCAACATCAATATCAATATCAAAATCTTCATCTTCATCTTCATCTTGAGTAGGCTGTGGAGCTGTTAAGGGAAAGTCCTCAACATCTTCTTCATCAATTAGTGTTCTATGCCTCTCTTTTCCTTGTTTCTTTTCCTTGTTGGATCGCATATCCATCTGATTAAAAGACCACAATGATATACTAAGCATCACTCTTGTAAATTAGGTTATTAAATTGTCCAACTTTCATACCTTTTCTTTTCTTAATTGCTCCAACATATTTTCAGTTTCATCTTCATCTGATGCGCAATCTTGAGTAGGTTGTGTCTTCTGCCTCTCATTTGTTTGCTTTTTTCCCTTGTCACATTGTTTATCCATCTAATATAAGAAAAAAATATGGATTTTGCCTTTTAGAAGTGAGACAATTACAGTATTAATAAGTGAGACAATTACAGTATGAAAAGATGGATTACATAGCAATAAGTAAGACAGTTACAGTTTTAAAAGTGAGATAATTACACAAAACTGAAGCATGACATTGTAAAGTAAGTGAACTAAAAAAGATGGATTTTACCTTTTTCTTCTTACTCTTAACTTGTCTAGTATTAGAAGTGCCTTCTTCACTATTCTGATTAAACTAATAAAAAACAAAAAAATCACAATTACAAGATAAACTGATAAAATAACAGAAAAATCAAAATTACAATAACAATAACTAATTACATAGCAAATGAAATGATTACCTTATGACAACCTCTTGCATTGTGTCCAAGAATCCCACAGTTTGAACATGTTATTTTTCTCCTTCTTCTCGGTGCAACCCACTCAGTTTGTCTCTTAAGTGCTTCATCTTTATCTCTTTTCCTATTCACTCTAGGTCTGCCAACTAAGTTTACCAATTCTGGTGGTTCCATTGCCTGTTCAGCTTCAATTTTCCAAAACTTTTGACCAGGCACTGGTTGTAGCTTACAATGGTAAGTCAAAAGATATGCCTCCTTAGAGTACCACCAGTGAATCTCTTCCAATGGATCAAGATTCTTGTAAAGAAGAGCCTTGATTGAATGGGGACATGGTATTCCAGTAAGATCCCATACCCTACATGTGCATTTCTTAGCTGACAAATTGACAATGTGTCTGTCATTTCCTTCACTTACCTCAAATCCATCATCTCCATTGAAATTTAATTCACACACATTAGCAATCTTCAAGAATTCATTGTACATTTCAATAGCTATAGGACTCCAATCACAGTTCCAAGTCATCAGTTCATCTTCATTTTTGACAAACTTGGTCATAACATTGATTCTTATATCCTCAAGCATACCAATTATTGGCTTGTGTCTTGCTTCCAATATCCAAGAGTTAAATGACTCAACCAAATTGTTTTCCACCTTACTGTTCTTGCAAACAGTGTCAAAAAATACTCTACACCAAGTTTGTATTGGAAAATGCAACATATGGTCTTTTGCTTCTTCAGACAGTTGACCTAAGGTCTTCAAATAATCATCCAACTCCTCTTTGTAGGTGCTCCATGCACACCACCACAATACCTTAGTCATCATTTTAGATCTCTTACCTTTTTTTCTCCAGTTGGCCTCTATGTGCCTCACACAAAATCTATGCATAGCATTAGGTAAAATATTTTTAACAGCTTCAATTAATCCCTGTATATCAGTACAAGACAAATGAAAATACATAAGACAACAAATAAAGATTTATAAGATACAGTAAGTAAGAATGAATAAAGAAGTGACAAATATGAGAATTTACCTTTTGCATATCAGACATGAATGTGATTCCTTCTCCACTGTTGATGTTTAGAGACTTCTGAAGTAATTCCAAGAACCACACCCAAGATGCCTTGCACTCTCTGTCCACAATAGCCCAAGCAATAGGATAGAAATGGTTCATTGAGTCTTGACCAATAGCAGATAACAATTGACCTTTAGCTTTACCCTTCAAAAATGTACCATCTAGGCCAATGAAAGGTCTCAACCCATTCTTAAATCCACTCTTCAATGCATCAAAACAAATGTACATCCTCGAAAATTTTCTTTTTCCATCTTCTAATGCATTTCTTGAAACCTTAAGGACAACATCAGTTCCTGGATTACTCTTTTTTAAAGCATTTGCATACCCAACAATTTTCTTATAATCATCACAAAAACTGCCTTCCATGTCCTCCAAAATCATTCTTTTAGCTCTCTTACACTTTTCAAAATGAGCATTAATGTTGAAAGCAGTTTTCATATCAACTCTCATTTCCTTTATCTTGTATTTGGGATTAGCCTGCAACTTCTCCTTAAAGTAAAAGGCAATTATAGTTGCACTAACCTTGTTGTTGCCACATGGATCATTACATTTATTATGCTCTCCTTTCAATGTTTTCACTCTAACACCGGCAGCATGCTTTTCACCAGAAATTAGACATACAAAGTTGCATTTTTCTTTGCAAACAACCCTAAGTCTTTTTCTGTCACTTTTTTTAATGGTTAAATTATAGCCATTTGCCAATGAATGCAAATTAATGTATCTTCTAGCTTCAGCTATATCCTTAAATGTCATTGACTTGTGTAAATCTATGTAATCACACAAGCTACCATCAATTACCCTCCTCCTTTCTTGTGCAAGAACCTCCAATTCTTCAGAATTATAATCAGAGTTATCACTAGAAGTATCACTATCATTTTCAGAACCATAAGAAGTACAATCAATAGATACATCATCAATAACTACCACAGTCTCTAACATTTTGGTTATATTCTCAACATCAACATCTAACTCACAATCCTCAACAACAAATAAATTAATTACATCAAATTTATCATTAACAAAGGACAATAATGTCCTAATCCCCTCATCACCTTCTATTAACTGTTGCACACCCACATAGCCTAATAAATTAATGTAGTCATTAGTAATATCTATCCAAGATAAGAGATCATAATCATAACCTTCCCTTTGTGAACAAGTTTCCTCTCATAGAGCAATTTAGGCTCTCTTATCCATTTCCCACCATAGTGAAATACTAGATCAACCAAAACCATTTTAGGCAACCTAAGGCACACAAGAAACAACATTAACAACTACCAAAAGCATGAATGAGACAAAATAACTAAGAAGGGAAAAACAGAACACATAAAAATGACACAATCAAGGCACACAAAGACAACATTAACAACTTCCAAAAGAAGTAATAACATTAACAAAACTCCTAAAAAGGCACACAAAGACAACAATAGGGACCACATTCAATAAGAATAAACATTAACAAACTGTAAAAAAGCAAACAAATAACTAAGAATTTAGACAAAAGGGACCACATTCAATAAGAATGAATAAAATATTGGCCCCACATCAAACATGGACCATATTCAATCAAGAATTTCCTAATTAAATATTGGGACTAGAAATCAGCCCATATTCAATAACATCTTCAAAACCTAAATCACCTCGTCCAAATTCATACAATACCCTAAAACCTACCCACAAACCCTAAATCGCAAAAAAACAATAAATAACTAACAAATCGTGAAGTTTTAGATGTAAAAAGGTAAATCTATAACTCAAAAACCTTAACCCACAACATCAACACTCGTAAATCAACAACTAAAGTAACAAATCGTTAATTTTTAGATGTAAAAAGTCAAACAAATAACCCAAAAACAGATACTCACAAACCCTAACTAACAGATCGTAATATATATCGGTAAAAAGGCAAACAAATGAGTCAGAAAGACAGATACCCACAAACCCTAACTAACAGATCGTATTATACATCGATAAAAAAGGCAAACAAAAGAGTCAGAAACACTGATACCCACTAACCATAACTAATAGATTGTAACACATATCGGTAAAAAGGCAAACAAACGAGCCAGAAATTTGGAGACAAACCCTAACTCGTAATCAACAACTAAATGTTATAGAAAGACAATAATCAAAGAAGATTTGTTCAATTCAATACCTTAACAACGATTAGTACAAATTTTGATGGAGAAACTAGGTTGTCTTTTCTTCAACTCATCAATCTGTTCTTCGATTTGGCTTCTGATGGAGAAAAAGAGAGAGAATGGGTAAATGGGTAAAGGAAATTTGGGAGAATGGGTAAAATAGGGTTAACCAACCGAATTATTCTAAATGGGGTCGGGACATTGGGTTAAAATAGGGAATAGGATTTTTTTTTTAAAATTCGGGTCAATTTTGGGGATTCCGTCTAATGGGGGGTAAATTTGGTGAAATTAGTAACGGGAAGGGTAAAATTAACTTCATTTTAACGGCGAGGGTAAAGTCAAACAATAAACCAAAGTTGAGGGGTATTTTTGACCCTTTGCCCATTAATAAATAAAGTATTTACAACAACATCTACGCTAATGTATTGCAAACAAATGGATAACTTCTTATTATCTAGAATTAATTCTTATTTTATAAATAATAATAATATTACTATAGGAAGTTAAATGCTTAATGACTTTTAAGAATATTACATTAAAAACAAATAGTAAAAGACTAATGACTGATAGTTTATGTAATAAAAGAGAGATGTATTTATCAAATTAACAAGTGATATTTTAGGTGTGAAACTCACTCTCAATAGTTTAGGTATGAAATTAAAAAAAAGAGATAGTTTAAGTATGTTTTTATATTCAGTCCTATAATATTGACTTTGACATCAATAGCGAAACTTATTTGCTCCTTAATTATTCAGTGATAGTGAATTATCATGTTTCTCTTACATTTTTATCTTAAAAAGTTCACGTCACTTTTTTTATACAATAGTTTTATGACGTACACACAATAATTTTTGCTTTTTATATATATGTGTAAAACACGTACGTACATTTAACTAGTTACTTAAAATGTCATATCTTTTAATTATACACATTAATTTGAAGAGGCAGCAAATCTCATGCAAGTTTCAATCGATGTTTATATTTACAATTAAATGTGGAAGACATATTTTTATGTGATTCACTTATTTACGTATGTAGTTAATGTCTATGAGCACACACAAATTTTTCTGAATTATGAGTAGATAAAAATCTCTATTATAAATATTTATCATGTATTTAAATGTTTAATCAGAATAAATCACAATTCAATTAAAAAATATAATAAATGGATTTGACGAGTAAATTTAAGAGAAGGTCGTTGTATTCAATAGAATAATAAAAAACCCCAAGAAACAATAATGAGAAAGTTATTCACAATTTTTCATATGGAAAAGAAAAGTTTAATTTTCACTTTATAATATTTTAAATATAGTCTTTAAAATAAATTTGATTTAGTTAACGAATTTATAGAAGAGGGTGATGAAGTGTGACAAGACCTACATTAGAAAGTGGGATCGAACCTTCAACCCTAACCAAACTCGACCAATTTCCTTGTTGATATATATTGGGGTTAGGTCTGAAATTAGTTCTTGGTTTTCGGGGTCAGGAGCAGGTCTCGAGGTCAAGTCTCAGGGTTAGAGGTTGGATCTCGAGGTCGAGTCTCAAACTCGATCATGGGTTTGGGTTTGGGTTTGGGTCTGGAGTCTTAGGTCCGCGTTGAGGTTGGATCTTAATTAGGCCGGGATCGATTGTGTCATAGATTGGTATTGGGGGCTGTGTCCTGAGTTGGTGTCAGATTTGGACATAGATTCGATGTTCAAAATCATAATATTTATTCAAATTATTCCTAAATATGTTTATTATAATATTTTTTTTCTCCTTACTAATGAAATACTAAAAATATTTTAAATATAGTCTATAAAATAAATTTGATTTACTTAAATGACTTTTATAGAAGAGGGTGATGAAGTGTGATAAGCCCTAAAGTAGAAGGTGTTTGGTTGTAAATTAATGCTAATCATTGGACAACGCATATACAATAAGAGAGTAGTATACACAAGTCAAACAACAGATAAAGAGAAAGAGAACTGACTCAAAATACCACCAACAGATGTTGTACAAAGACGTAGCTACTCCTCTCTTAATCATATGTTTCATATTTGAGTTTTGAATATGAAAAATAATAATTTAGTAGGCATTTGATCGTGTGATATCATATCACGATATGAAATCATGAGATGAAATCAACGTTTGGACATGCAATTTCATGTTAATTCCATCTCATGATTTCATATCATGAGATGGAATCCCATATTCCTCAAAAATCATGATTTGCGAATTTCATATCATGATTTCGGATTTTTTAAATACAAAAATTGACCACACGTTTATATTTTGTTAAAACAACTCCACATTTATATCTACTAACCATTTATTTCATATGTAAATAAAATTTATAATCACATCATTACCTTTTTAAAATTTATTATTCTCACCAACATAAAATTTATTTTTACTTTAAATTTGGTGAATATAAATGATAAAGTAGGAATTGATTTGGTGAATATAAATAGGAATGGAGGAATTAATACTTTTTTGGTTTTTCATAATAAAAAAACTTCTTTTTCAGCTACATATGAAAATGTTTAAAGCAATTCAATATGAAAAAGGACAAAATTGGCGATGTATGTTTGATAATCACACTTCCAATATATTTTATTTTAGCACGAAATTAATGCACTGAAAATGTGTAATTGCACACAAGTGAAACAAGACATGAACCATTATGATATTGATACACAAGTGAAAATGATCATAGCTTATACAATATTACATAACTATTTGTGAGATACTAAAAAAGTGATGAAATATTTATGGTTCAAAATTCAGTAAAAACAATTATTTTTCGTTTCGAAAATCTATTGTGCTAAAGCATATAAAAGAGTTACGAAAAAAAAACAGGATAATCTAGCCAAGAGCAGTTATGTGACCATTTATAAAATTTACTTATAATATTCTATGGATTAAACATATATGCACATGTAAGGTGACTTTTCTTTTTTGTTTTTGTTTCCCATCCGAAGTCTGTATTGAAGTTTGACTAAATTCGAATCGCGCACTACAGTATATTCATCTGAGGGTGGCGCTCCCAACAAGAGTTGACTCTGAAACCTCTGCTTTAAGGTTACTTTCATCTTCACCATGTTTTAGTTTGATTCTCTTTCATTAATAACTGTTGGCTGATGGAGGATTTCCAAGAAGATATTCTTGTCAGCAAAGATGTGATCCTCTAAGATGAGAAGATATTCTTCATATCAAGATATGATCCTCTAAGATCTTAGTATAATTGTGGTAATCTAGAATATCATATCTCTGATTCTTTCTCTTAATGTAAAGATTTAGGTGATTCTATTCCACAATCTTTTATGTATATATAAAGCCATGTACATGACATAGAAAAATATGAATGAAATTATTCAATAATCTTATTCCACACTAACTTGGAACTCTAGAATAGAGAATTGCTAGCTAGAGAATAACTCTACAGTTTCAATTGGAGATTTGCAACATTCAGCTTCAACAGGTAGTTGTTCATTGGCCTTCACAGGTATTTCTTACTCTTTTATTACTAATGTCTCAGACAAACTTTCTCCAACGTGGGTGGTTGATTCCGGGGCAACTGATCACATGACCAGTTCCTCTCATCTTTTCATATCATATTCCCCTTGTCCTAGCTATAAAAAAATAACTATAGCTGATGGTTCAGTTATTACTGTAGCTGGGCAAGGAGACATACCACTTGGAAAATCCTTGATACTTAAAGATGTCCTTCATATCCCAAAGTTATCTGCAAATCTCATTTCTATCCAGAAACTCACCAAAGATTCCAAATGCCAAGTAACTTTCTTCCCTTCATAT